GCCCTAAGGCACCTGAAGGTAAGGTAAGTGAAGTAAAAAGTTCTTCTCCGATTCGGGAGGTGAGGACGGATAAGGCAGACAAGTACCTAGGTTCCGTCGGAGTGAAAGTGTTCGGTACATGTGGTGCGTGTGCGTGTGCTGTCGATGGAACTCAATGGCAGGCAGGCCCTAAACAACTCTCGCGATTTACTTCTCAGGCAATGTAAGTGGAGAGTTTATAAGAAGCCACGCTAGCCATTCCGGACCTGGATTGAACAGGACTGGATAGTGACACCAGCAGGCTAGCGCGGGCTGGTTCCCTAGGTCAGGTAGGGCCCTTGGTCATTGGAGGCCGAGTTGCGAGCGGGCGAGGACGCTGGCCCCAATTAGGAAGAGGCAGATCTGGCTCAGATCCAATTCAGATGAGATGGCCCCCTCCGATGGAACCTTCTCCCACACCCCCTACCAGACTACCAGACGGCCTAGGGAATCCGACCACTCACACTCCCGTCCACCCTCATCGCCGGCCTCCCCCCGCTCACCGAAGACGCATCGCAATTTTGGGTCGTGAGGGGCCAGCCGGAGCGACATTTTGTCGGAACCCAAGACATTGCGAGGGAGACTTTGGATCCTTGGGAGGCTTGAACGCTTGCACGGCCCGGACTTGTGCTCCACAGCTTTTGATCATGGGGCGCTTTGTTTCGGCCGCCGCGTGAGAGCGCGAGAGAGGGTCAATTAATACGGACACAATGCGAGAGTGCGCGACTGCCTGTCTGCAAAGTAACCTCCCAGTGACTCCCCTCGCGGGCCTTGCCCACATCTCATCTATTCGACAGCACGCTAATTGGATAGGTACATGTACATAGGTTGACGGAGGGGAGGGAGGGTAGATGGCCCTGCGGCACTTTTTGAAGTCACCTCAGGTCTGGAGCTTCACGAGGAAGGAAAAAAAAACACACAAGAGATGAGGCACGCCGCACGGTAGGTCACGACTTTCAAGGGTCGTCTGATGTCCGGGGCACTTTGCATGCCGCACAACATGTTGAATTCTATCCTCGAGTACGGAGTACTCCATAAGGAGGACCTACCTTAAGGTGAGATGGGAAGGTGTCGACTGGACTGCCCGGACTAGCTAGACGTACCTTACCTACCTACTTGCCTCTACAAGGAAGATACGGAGTACTTTACGAATGCTCTGCCGTCTATAGAGTGCCTGAATACCTCAAACGAAGTGGCTGCTTACCTCACCTGCACCGTCCAAGCCACATTTTCTCTCCTCTCCTTCTTGCCCTCATTTATGTAAGCACAGGGTGCACCGGGAGGTAAGGTAGACAAGACATTTCAGTAACATTCCTCCCACAGGGAAGAAGCCGCCTTCTGGACGGCTCTTTTTTTCGGCCCCCTTTTTCTATTTGCGCTCCAGGCAGGAGCAAGCAAGGTGACGTAGCTAAATTCTTTTGCCGTCTAGAATATGCAGGGTGCACACAACGTCACGGCCGCATGGAGTGACGTATTTTGAGTGAGGCCCGAATCCAACCTCGTCTTCCCCCCAAAAACCACCGGCTCGCCTGTCTTGCACTGCTGAGCTTTGGTTTATTAACTGAGGCCCGGCCCAAAGCGGACAGCTTGTAGTACGCCCTCAGTTAGTGGCTTCCCTTCGTTTCTCAAACTACCTCGTGGACTTTTATGGCTTTTTCTCTCTTTCTCTCTCTCTCTATCTCTCTATCTTTCTCTCTATCTCTCTTTATTAAACGCAGAGGTTGTGGCGTTCTTTTTGCGCATTGATTCTCGGGCAGCTCGGCAGTATATACGTTTAGCACCCTCGCTTCGCCTCCACCGTCCTACGTCAAAAGATTTTCGCGATATCAAAGAAGGCTGTTCGACAGGCCACGCATGAGCAGCCAAGATGAATAGGGCCCCAACAGGTCCATTCAGCCTGTTGTTCAATTACATTCAATAGGGATGGCAACGGGCTAGGAGGGTGCTCGGTGCCCCCCGGGACAGGCGAACGAACGAAAGAGGGGCACACACAATGGACGCTGGCGGGGAATGAATTGCTTCCGTCTTGTCTCTTCCCCCTCCATCTGTCAACCTACCTTACACCTCGATCCCGTCCAAAAGACCAAACGGCTCTCGTCACTGCCAACTGCCCACTGCCCAATCGTCGGGCCTTTCTTTCTTTGTTTCTCACCCACTCCCGTCTATTCTCCCTCATCAGTACATCTACTTACTGAACAATCTGTTACAGATGTCTACCTCTTCTTCCTATCCTATCAAGGGTCTATCCCGGCACTGACTAAAACATACTGGGATGTGTCCGTACGCCCATGCTTTCCCCCAGTACCTAGCTCTAGTGAGCTTATTCCGCAGGCTCGGCATCAGAGACATGGTCAAAGGGCTACTAAACAATCTGCCCTTGCAACTTTGTATGTGTGTCTATCAGACGCTGCACATCACTCCCAAGAATGAAAGGATGAGCGACTAGCCCACTGGCGGGAGACTCGATACCTTACCATCTTACACACGCATTGGGCGCTTCGCTACCGCGGAGGGGCTATCCTGTTTCTGTTGCAGGGCCCCGGACCGGCTCCGACCAAATGGATGCTGCTCAACGCCAGGATAAAGCGGGTTATGTACTAGTGACAGACGACAACCTTACCTCTCTACTCCGTACCTTTCCTGCAACCTGAGTTAGGACGCGGCAGACGCCCATCCACGTCCATCCACGCCCACACGTCAGCAAATTTCATCGAGCGAGACGGACCGGCCTGTCTGACTGGGAGGTGACAGGAGGAAACTGGACCTTGGTGGCCTTCCGTCTCCGTCACCGTCACCGTCGCCAATGTCTTGTCTCTGCCTCCTGCTGACCCTTGCCACGGCGGAGCTGGCTGCTGGACCAAGCAAGGTATCTATCTGTAAGGTAAGGCAGGTAAACTACGAAGACACTGCAGATGGCCGGAGCAATCCATGCCCTCCTTGCGCTGTCTCTACCACACACACGCTCACCCTCACTCACCTATTCACTCACATACATACACGCACACACTCTCTCACTCTCCCTCTCTCTTTCTCTCTCATATCCGTAGACACATACCTACACGCACGCGCACACTCACACACACTCATACACAGCCACCGACTCTGGCGTATGTTCCTAAATAGGCGAAGGTTGCGTGAGGCCATGTCGCGGGGAAAACAACGTGGAGCGGTCGCCTCAAGCACAAATCTAATGTATCCATACATTGCCTCCTCGATACCTCGCTCACCTTACTAATGGGCCTGGTCAACTAGCTCAAGACCCTTGTAAGCTAATGTCTCCTTTTGTTCTGGAAACCCAGGCTGAACGGGATGAGGACGGTAACCAATGACTCTTTATTTTACCCCCTCAAGGGCTTGGGCGCGGCACAACCCATCGCATCGTATCGCTCTCACAAGACACATGGTGCATCTCATCTCGTTCTACCCGTGTTCTCAACGCAACCAACCCATCTGTGCCGCGCTACCTATCGTTGGCACACTACGGTTGCTGTTGCCGTTGCCGTTGCCGCCGCGCCGATGACCACCGACAAGCGTGTTCGCCTTGTCTAGATTCGGGTTCGGGTGCCTCAGCAGCAGTGAAACTTATTTTGAGCCAAGTCTGTCGTCCCAACCTGGCTGTTGCTAGCGTGCGATTCCCTGCGGCCTCGAACGGTCAGTTCTGCATATATTATGGTCATAACTGCCCCCCCAAGACGTGGAACGGGGTAAAGACTCATCAACATACGTCCTCTCTCTCATGGCTCCGCTTCGTGATCTGGTCCTGCTAGTAGAACATCGCTTTACCACTGCTGGGCCGTGTCGGCGTCCCCTTGCACCCCTTCAGGCCTCTCTCTCAGGCAAATCGAAATTGTGCATCGCGTATAGGGTTCCTGTACAGGACCAATCTCTCTTCCAACGCTTCGTATCGAAGGCGCATAAGCAAGCAGTCACAACTGCCGCTGTTCGGTAGCTTCAGCTTCTTGCCTTGCTGTCGTCGCATATGTCCGTGGTTTGAGCGTCGCTGCCGTTGCCGTTATCGTTCTGGTTGCCCTCGTCTAAGCCCTTCCTTCCCGCTCCTGAGTGCGTAGGTTGCCTTACTGCTCTTCGACAAACGCCGTGACGGGGAGTCGGGCACGACTCCGATCAAATACAATTTTTTTTTCTCTCTTGCCGCATCTTCGCCAGCCTTCTGTTTCCACACACAAATCCGAAAGGCTGTGTACCACACATTCCGCTCGGTTTTTACCGGTGGTGTCTAGCAGTCAACAAACAACATTCGTCGGCATTGTCGTCCCCCGGTGTAGTCTTTGAGTCCACCCGCAGCGCCGGCGGTACCGCACGTTCCTCTCCGACAAAATCGAGATCCAAAAATCCAAAAATCAAGAGAGAGCGCGAGAGACAGAGAGACAGAGACGAAGAAAGGAAGACACAGTTCCGAGGAACAAGAAGACAGAGTAAAAACAACTGGTGCACGGCATGTGCTCCGGGTGACCCAGACCCATATCCCACCCCGCCTGCCGTGCCGTTTCTCTTGGTCGAAAAGACGGGCACCGGTTCCACGTCTCCTCCCATCTCCCATGTTGAACGAGGTTTCTGCACCTTGTTCAACTGGTCGACAACCTCATCGGGACTCATCTGAGTCTCGCCAAGGACCCTCGCAGCCACTTCAACTACCTCTCGTCACCGACGTCCAAAATCAACTTGCATCTTTTGCCCCAGTAGCTCGCGGATGCTGCGCCCGGCCGAGAATCGCCCTGGGTCATTCTCCTGGCCGCTGCTGCCCCCTCATCGCCACTAGGGTTCTGCAGACTCAACGACCCCAGACCATTTGCCTAGTCTGGGCCTCTTTTCCCGCAGGTCTCGACCATTCTGTCTCTCTTGTCGCCCTGCCTAGCCTAGCATGCCACCCTTTCGCCTCAACATCAACTACCAAATCTCACTGAATGACCCGAACCCCCCTGGATTCGACCATCCTCCCGAACCCCTTCACTATTAGGTGAATAATGAACTTCGATTCCAAATCTGTGGCTTCGAGCTCAACGGGGTCGGGCTCCAGCCGAATGTACCAAAAGAAGGATCGTGGCCCTATCGCCGCCATAGTAAGTTCAGCCCTAATCCTCGTACCTATCCTTACCATCTCTAGACTGGCCTTGTGGTCTTCGTGTCTACCACCCCGAGGGCTTTGGACAAGTGCCCAGTGGTAGATGATGGAAAGGCGAAGGGCCGTTACCTTGATCCGCGAGAACATGGAGCCGCTTTCTTTCTCCTCCCTCTAGGCGTGACACGACTTTGGCCTGGATTTAGTCTGACATCTCTGTAGGCATGTTCGACTTGTCGTACTAGGAAGCAGAAATGCGACGAACGCAAGCCAACCTGTGGCTTCTGCGAAAAGAAGGGGCTTGACTGCTTCTACGGAGACCCAGTACCAACGAAGTAAGTCAGCGGCCCTGGCGCGACTCCTGGGAGCGAGATCAACCTTTGTTGTCCTTCTTTGCCCGTCTCTCTTAAGCTGTAGTGAGCCGACGATCACGTCCTAGAGCAACGCTGTCAGCTCAGTCTGGACATGCTAACTGGCCATAGAAAAGACAAAAGCTTGGTTGAACTACTCGAAATCGTGAAAAACATCAACGACAATACCAGTCAAATACCGCAACTCTTCGCCCAGCTCCAGAACATGCAGATCAGCGTCCCGTCTTCTTCACAGTCTGAAGATAGTGGCGATGACGCTTCATCGACAAGTACTTTGAAGGCCCAAGGCCGGCCTACCCCGAAACCCTCGCAGCAGGTTCCATACCGATATGCGTCTGCAGTCACCAAGATGATGGCGTGGCCTGCAGTGAGACAGAAGCTAGAAGACGTCCAGCCCAAAATACCGAACCTCCAATCCGCCTTCCGGGAACCCGACTTTCCGTCCGAGTTGTTCCATCAGCAAGGCCAAGACCGGCGCCTTCCTCGAGGCGGGTTAGAAACGGCGAGCTATCATGAACGTATATCGTTGGGCTTTCCAATGGATGGGCCACTACCACAACTGACGGCGATGAGCTACGCAACGCTTGTAGACCGCGTCAACACGTATTTCGATACCTTTAATCGGATCCATCCTGTTCTAGATCGTCAATATTTCATGGAGAAAATACTACAGGACGTCATCGGGAGCGAGTTCGAGGAAAATGCGGCATCTACGTTGGTGTGTCTAGTGTTGGCCCTTGCCGAGGTGGCTCTCGTCGGAGGATCGAGCGGTGCCTTTGCGGCCTTCGAGGACCACCCTGTCGGTGAACCTGTCAGGACGACAAACGACTTGGAATTCCGGCCGCCGGGCATTCTGTTCTTCAACGAAGCACGGCGGCGCTTGGGATTCTCAATGACAGAGTGTGCTTTGGAGAATGTCCAGATGTATATCTTGGCGGGGTAAGTTTCCCGGAGCCGGGTCCGGCCGCCCGGACCGCACCTCGGAGTGCGGACCTCCTGTACGGTGCGAAGCTTTGACTAACCCGGGATTGGCTTGACCGACGACAGGCTGTACTATGAGTGCTGTTCTCGGCATGTGGTGAGTGAACACCTGAGGGGAAGACTGTCCGGACGGATTTGGCTAAACCAAAATCTCGCGTAGGAGTTCTGGAGAATGAACATATCGGCATCCCTGGCTTGCCGTGCCTTGATTACCAGGTAAGTAGAAGCAGCAACGTTGGTGGTGGCCTGTCTGTCTGCAGCCGGGGCTGTCTGAGACTTTAAATGGTTGTGGTGAGGTGCTGATCCGGAAATGGGCTGACGGACCTTTGTAGTAACTCTGCCGAACTTCGCTCAGTGCGCGGCGATCAGATCCGCCGCGCCTTTTGGTATTGCTCCATCATGGAAACGTACGTGCATCGCAGATTTACAGTCCATCCCGAGAATCCCAACCCACGCCTCCTCCCCTGGCCCCATCGAGCCCCCAATCCCAGCCCCTGTTCTACCCATGGATCTTTGGCCAAGGCAGCCTCAGCTTGCGGATGAGCAAGGGACTCCTGTTGCATCTCCTTTGTTGCTATTTTGCACTTCTTATTCCGTTACTCCGTATACCTTCAGCTGTGGCAAGGGTTGCTCTTCCCGCCACAAGAATCCGTCATCTAACAACCGGTGCTTTGCTGCAGCGGTCTTCACCTGGAACTTGACCTCCCTTTAACCGGCCTCGAGAAGCTAGAGGCGAGCATGCAACTACCAACATTTTCGGCCTATGCTCATACCGAAGATGCGAGTTTGAGTCAAAGTATTCACAACGACAGGAGATCCAATTGTGGTGAGATATTCCTACACCAGATTTCATTGCGAAACCTGGGGGTCAAGATCCACAAAAGCCTGAGAAGAAGTGAGTTGGATTGCCTTTCCCCGTCGTACCCCTCCTGGTTTTGGACCCTCTCTCCATTTCCGTCCATATTTCCATTTCCACTTTCTTCCCAGCCTGGTCGACGTACGTCGATAACGCCTTGTTCAGAGTCTCCATATGCGCTTGGCTTCGTATTCTTGGTCTTTTGCTACCTGCGTCTGCCTCTGATGCGCGCCTCGCGTATGGGCCCCCTGGATGGGCGCAAGTGCAGCGAGCCGGCTTCTCCCCATATGTCTCATCAGAAGAAATCTCCAATATTTTGACCCCCACTGACATGATGCATATGCACCAGTTCTTGGAGGATCCACTTCGAGATCAAACTGGAATTCGCCTGATCTAGCCGACTCTCTCGAAGATCTAGTTGGTGATTTGGCTTCGCAGCTCGACCAATGGCACACTTCTTTGCCCAGCGTCTTGCATTGGGACAGGACGCAACATTTGGACGCATTCCAAGCATCCTTTCCTGTCCTCGATCCGCAGGTTCCTGACCAGCACTTTTACGCACCGCCAACCTTGTATACCGCCGACGCCATGGAAGGGTTGCAGTCTGCTCCCATGCTGGGGTATCTACACGATTCACTCTACACCAATTCGAACGATGTGCTCGAAGCTATACTACGGTCCCGATTCTACCATCTCGAATACTTACTATTCCGACCTTTTGTGTACAAAGCTCTGCATACACGAGCAGAAAATTTGACTGAGACAGACTTGTCCGCAACCAAGAGATTTTTAGAGGCTTGCCTCCTCTGGCCTATTATCCTTCCGCCTGCCGCTCAGCACAAACGCATGATTCCTTGCCTCTACTTTTGGTCCCAAAACATCCTCGGCATACTCATCTTCTTGCACCTATCTGCAACGCATCCCACTCTCTTCCAGATTCGACAGAGCCGTTGCGACTCAACTTTCGACGAGGCAGCGAACATGACGATTACGCAGGGTATCAACTGGCTTCGGGGCCTCAAGGATGAGGACAGCTCTACACGGTGGTGTTGGACCATTGTTCAGGGCTTATATCCTGACAGACCCATCATGCAGCAGTAGAACCGGGTCGCTATGGGCCAATGAACGAGAAAGATGAGACTTTGGATAATGTCACCAACGAAGCGGCCCCAGTAATCGAAGGCTGCACTTAGATGACTTAGGAAACGGGAAGTCCACGGTGCACAAAAGCGAGCTGTGGATGGTGCAAACAGGCATAGAGATCTAGCATCGGGAGACGCAAGGTTGCATTCTTCATCGGGCACATGGCGTTCTGGTTCCTGGGGCACACGACTCGCATCATCGGTATCATTTTCATCACTAAACGTATGAACGACGACTTGGTTGGGTGATTAGGCCAAGCAATAAGTCTCTGAAGCGCATGGACGGTTATAGAAGCAAAGAGGTGTTGATGACGTTGATGGCCCTATGGCATTATAGGATTAGCATGTGGCTTGGAGCAGGCGAGAGCTATCAGTCCAGCGTGACATTTCCACGCTGGACGCCGGGGAGTCTTCTTTTCTTCGCAGTATATCTGCGGCTTGATTAACTTAAAGATATCTCTTCTCCGAACTTACTATCTATCCGTCCATAGCATCTTCTCAAGGGTGGCGGATGGCCAAATCTGTAAGCTTATTGAATTCTCTTCTTTCGACCTACCCTTCATGCCCGATGGACGACGGATGAGACTAGTTGGAGAGCGCATTCAGGAGGTTTTCCTCAACAGCCCTCTAAAACTTTATATTCACATTGAAGAGCGTCGATATCTTCAGTAGCGCAGAGACAGTAAGAGGAATATGGAGCCCCTGGGATGGAGTGAGCGCCGACCTGCCCAAGAATTGGCGGCAGCAACGTGATGACGTAGGTTCACGATATGCGCCTTCCGTGCTCCAAATCGAACCTAGCCTGCTTAGCAGCTTCCCGGGATCAAGCTGACAAGCGCAACAGTCCTGCAAGGCATTCCTATGGTAGGAGAGTGCCCCCATAGCTGCACAAGAAAGTTCGGTGATTCGTTGTCCTCGCACAGCTCTTGCGTAGATGTTTGGTCGGGGCTGCATCTCTCCTCGTCACAGCACTACCCGCCAAAGAGGGAGCCGACAACATCCCTTTCTTAGGAGTTAACGGCTTGAGATTAACAGCCCAACCATCAGTTCCAATACGAATAGCTTGTATGTATCATTCAGTTGAGGGTCTTCTGCATCTTTCATACGCTGATATGGAACGCAGCATCACTAGGAGGCCATATCACATAGCCTGCCATCGGCGCCGACGTCATAGCATTCCTCCTACATCATAAGTAATGGCGGGATCAAATCCTTTCGTCATGTACAAACGCGACGCCAGGCAACTTGCATACTGGATGATCCACGCATCCAACTTTATCTTCAAGACACGGAAAAGGCACAACGGCGCCTAGGAGTCGCCTATCGAGTTCAACACAACCGGACAGATCCATGTCAACGATTTCCAATCGGTCGCAAAGTTTGTGAGCAAGCACATGCAGGCGATACCGCCTGCTACATTCCGACTATTCAGGTCCGTCATCAACGCGAGAACGGAGCATCTAGCCTTCTTGCGACGCATCGTAAGCGAGGAAGACCCTCAGTACGGCAAAGACATCAAGATTCACGACACGTTTGTCCGACTCGTTACCGAAGCTTTCGTTTCCCTCGGCGGAAATTCCTGGATAGAGACCGAGCAGTCAAGAGGCGTGCAAGGTCGATCGAATGCCAGCAGTTTGACTCCAGAAAAACTTGCCGACTTCATCAATTTCTCGGCATTGGACTTAAAAAGCCTGAGCCTTGAGAGCTCAGGAGAGAATTCAAGTGACAGCGTTCCTGTTCCTCTTCGTGGATCCCAAAGGCGAGCCCAAGCGAAATCGGGTAGAGGGGGCAAGGGCAAGAAAAAGGCGAAGAAGGCTCCCGGTGCCCTATTGAACCAGGTACCTATTGAGCAATACAGCATCGTCGAAGCCGATGGCACTGGAGAAGCCGAGTCCTTTATGGCTGCTTGCGCAATTGCCAAGGAGTGCGTCGTACTCAGAAACTATCTCCAGAATGTCTGGCGCGAGGCAGCATACTGTGGCTTGCATGGGGCTATTGCCGGTACACTATCTAAAGTCGCTATTGAAATGGTCTAGGATACCGAATTGGAAGTCTTCAGCGAGGTCCCAGAGTTACAATCATACGAGACGCTTGTGGCGGCCATCATCCGTGGAAACCTCGAGACTGCACAAGGCTCATTCATCAAAGCTTTGGCAAAACTTAGTCCGGGTGATCAGCATGGAGGAACCAAAACGACCTCTATCGATTTGAAAGAGTACATTCAGCTTGGCACCTACCGGGATCTTGTTGATTTCCTCGAAGACTATCAACAGTCAGAGGATGGGAAGCCTACTACGAAGATGCTTATCAAGATCAAAGACTGGGATCCCACGCTAGACTTACAACATACTACGAAGAGGGAAAGATTGAAGTGGCGGAGATCATACACAATCAACTGGCTTTATGATCTCGTCAACTCCTATACAGCCCCTAAGCGCAGTGATGGAGAATGGGTGCGGCTTGAAAACTTACCCAACTGTCCGTTGGCGGGCTCTGAACCGCTTCTTGGTCTTCAGGATTTCGCGTGTTTTGTCGTCTCGTTATTAATGAAGAAGCCAGGAACGGATGTTCATCAAGACATCATGCCTCATCGCGTCTTTCAGCTACAATGCATTGTCGATGCTTTCACCGTATCATGTGGCTGGACCAACACCACTCGGCGGGGGCATGTCATTGGACCACGATCTCCGGATATGCTTGGCCCGATGAAAGACATTGATGGGTTTCTGGGACGCAGACCCATAGGAAACGGTAATCAGGAGAGCAGCGGCAAAGGCAAAGGCAAAAGCGGTACCAAACTGTACGTCGGTGACATTGAGCTATCTATAGGCGGCAGCACAAAGGATGACAGCAACATTCAAACCGACGACAAGAACTTGGGGTTCAGCAATGGACTTCTTCGGTCTGCCAACTTGATGGCTCACTTTTACGGGGCGGAACTCCGTAACGCCCATAGGCAGCCAATGATGGATTTCGTGAGCGTCTTTTGCAGAGAGTTCGACTTCCTGGGCCAGTCAGTGCCAATGACTGGCGACATACTCCCAACATCCCGCTTTGATCACACCGGACTCAATGGTATGTGGAGGTACTCTCCGTACCTCTGTGGTGTGGGAGTGATGGAGGGCCTGGAAAGGGTCTACCGCACAAGCATGCTCATCTGGGACAGCCTCGAGGAACCGACGGCAATGATACATCTCCACAACATGCTTGTACAGCAAGGGCACATAAAGCAGCCTTTGACTCACTATCAAGTACTACAAGACATGTTTCGAGATAGCTTCTTTCCCGATGGCCAAGTTCCACGGTCCAACTTTGCTGAAGCCTTCCTTGGCATCGGAGAGCTCTTATGGGGTGATGGCAGAGTGAAACAAAAGCCGGCCCTCCCAAAATCAACTGGATACCATCGCTCAATCGACGTCAGCAGAAACTTGGCCTTCAACACCAAGTCTCATTTGTTGATTTACCGAGAAGCGAATTGGCATGTTGAATGGATACCGGACAAGGAGCTCAATCCACGGACTCGTTTGGCCTTGCTCCGCGCTTCGAGGCTGGTTGCCAATACTCCGCTGAACAGCATGACCAAAGATGAGAAGAGTCTGGTTGACCGCGTCAAGAAAGCTTTAGATGTAGACGATCAAGAGCTACTGTCCCGAGGGAATGCCCTGTTGAAGAAGCTCGGTGAGACACGGCCCCACCAGTCCAACACCGGCCGGAACGGTAGGCCGATTGAAGTCGTGTCCGGGGATCGCGTCAGGCCTAGTCGAGTGCAAATACTCGATCTGATCAAGGGAGACTTATACAACGATATTTGTGGGAACCGCTCTTACTCCACATTCAACTACATACTGTTGTATGTCAACATGATCGAAACCTTTGAGAAGATTGAATACGAACTTGCGAGAGCACAAGATTCCGACTGCCAGAGCATTCTGGAGTTGGGGACGCGACTTCACATGGTTGATGCACTGATGCGGAAAGAGCGAGAAAGGGCGAGCCTCAAGATTGTGGCAAAGGTCTTGGAGAGCCAGAGGGAGTTGCCATGTCGCTATCCCCGGAACGAGAAGCCTGTGGAAACATGGTATCAAGGAGAGGATAGCTTGGATTATGATGGGAACGAGATATTGTGCTCAGTCATGTGAAGATGAAAGCTCACTTTTGAGTTGAGGTTCCGTGGGAGAGATGGCTGGCTGTATGGTCAACTGTCTTGGAGGATTGAGTAGACTTACCACCAAGTTGCAGCGATTGCGTGAGTATGGTCATTGTACACAGTTACATTGGCAGTCAGACTTTCAATAAGCTTCCAGCGATGGATAGCGGTCTAGAAAGCGACCTACGATGACTCGAGAGGACTCTGCTGAAGGTATCGTGAAGGCTGGAGGCAACCCGTCCCCATCACTCCTTGCACGTGAGCGTCGCTTATTCACAACATGAAAGATGAGACAGCCAGACTGCGAACGCCAGGATATTATTGCTTGAAGTGCATCGATTCAGAATGACGAGCTTCGTGGCTCTTGGGAACATTTTGAACTTGTGACATCCATCCCTCTCCCGCTTTGCTCGAGATATGGCTCCGCTCACGCCGGTTGATACCGGACGTATGCGCCTGGAACTTGGTACATGCTTATAACCACCCTTTCATCTTCAGAGACGAGAGAGTGAGGGTATGACGGCGACGTGGAACCGGGAGCTCGATGGCTTCAATGTCCGTTCTTGACGCGAGGTAAGGTACAGTATCGAGGACCATGTCCGGGGTTTCCAACTCCCGAGAGATATTGAGGAGACTATCTTCACTGAGACTCACGGACTGAGGAGTTCAACTTCAGAGACGGGACATTGCCAGCTCAGGCGCGGTCTTGAGCGTAGATGAGCCGCCGGCATCGTGTAAGCGGAGTTATTTTGGACGAAACCCAGACTGCTGACCGTATCATGCTCGCGGTACTACACAGCGGACGACGATGT